GCCCTTTGACACGTGGCCCAGGCTGAACTCTTTAAGTTTGTCACCATGAAGCTTTTTCTCAAGTCCTCAAATAATTTCTGTGGCTGTTTTGCCTCCACTCTGGTTTTGTAATACATTTAAAAATTTGGTAGATCACAGAGAGGAAATGGAAGCAGCCTGGACACAGGCCAGAAGGCCAGCCAGGGGGCGCAGCAGGTGGGTAAGGAAGGCATTTGTAGTGCAGGAATGTGCTTCCTTCTGGGATATGCACAGAAGCTGGGACTTCCTGAGTCTTGGCATTCCTGAGCCAGGTAGCAAACTGTTTATCCTTCTCTGACTGTGGTGGTCTCTGCTCAGATTATCCTCACTGGGCAGGAAGGTCTTTGTGGGTCCTCTTGTAGAGTCTGGTACGGGGGTTGCTGAAGTCTACTTCTTTCCTCGGAAGTGTCTGATTTTCCTCCCTGTCAGGGTAGTTCTCTGTTTTATCTGCACCCTCATCCAGAAAGAGAGACTTGTGTTTTAAGGTGTGACATCCTGTCGCCACTACACACTAGCACAGGGTTTTTTCTTCCTTCCAGTCCTGTTATTTGAAATCCAGAAGTTATATTTAAAATGTAACCCTAACTTTTAATCTAAGCCTCAACATTCAGTGTGTGCCAGACATGGGGAAGGATCTGTGGTTTCAGAGCAGGATGCTGCCCTTCCTCTGGCAGGGCGTATCTGCATTACGGTGGGCAAGCCAGAGAGCTGGAGACTTTCCACAGTTCACCATTTGTGTCTTTCTTGTTATACAGCATGTGGTTTGGGAAAGCTTCAGAAGTGTTCACACTGTGTCAAGAGGCATTGGGGTTTGTGTGGTGGCCAAGGAGCTCTAGGAGGGCTGAATGTGGTGAAAGCCAGGCCCCAGTACCTCAGAGCCCTCAGAGTCGGAGACTTTGTGATCTAAGTCATCAGCTTGTCAAGGGGGACAAACCACAGGTTGATGTGAAGGTCTCGGGAATTGTTTGTTGATCATTTAGCTGCAGTCCTTCAAAGAAAAACAGGAGGAAACTTAATTGTTGCAGAGTTTGAGGGTTTGTGTAAAGCAAAAGCTAAAGAGGCATGAAGTACTGATTGATACCTGCATGGGACAGGGCCCGGAGGAGGCTGTGCTGTGAGAGAGCTGGAGTGCACAGAGGCAAATTTGGGTTGAACTCGTGATGAGTAAGTTTAGCTCTTGTGGTTGTATTCCTGGATTTTACGTCTTTCACATTCTTTGGAGACAAAGTTTGTGTATGTGGTTGTATGTGCTGGAAGCAGTATCTGGATGATGGTGCATGTGATGTCGGGAGCACTGTGCCTGATGCAGGGGAGCTGGGTTGTGCTTGGCTGCTGGAGGAAAGAGGAGGCAGCAGAAAGCACCAGGCTCTGTCCCTAGCTCAGCACTGCTGTCATAACACTTGGTGCAGGGAGCCTGCACACAGCAGCTGCAGGATCTTCCTTCTGGCTTTGGAAAGCATATTTTCTGCCCTCATTGCAGATTCATACTGTGAGACCCTGCCTGTGGATGGTCCCCCCTCGTTCCGGGGGCAGTCGGTGAAGTACGTGTACAAGCTGACCATCGGCTGCCAGCGTGTCAACTCCCCCATCAAGCTCCTGCGCGTGCCCTTCCGCGTCCTCGTGCTGCACGGTAGGGCCATGCACTGCCCTCCCTGCACAGGCAGCCCGGGCTGCACCTGCCCTGCTGATGCTCTCACCTCCTTCCCAGGGCTCAAGGATTACCAGTTCCCACAGGATGAGGCTGTTGCACCCTCAAACCCCTTCCTGGAGGAGGAGGAGGGCTTGAAGAAAGACTCTCGCCTGGCAGACCTAGCCACAGAACTGCTCATGGTGGCCACCTCCCGACGCAGCCTGCGTAGGTCATATTCCCTGCTCAAATTTGCTGTCCTTCCTAAGAAGCTGGTCATGAAGAACATCTCAGGGCTAGCTGCAAAGTATTTCTCACTGACAAAGTTCCAACTATAGCTGTGTAGCAGCTCTATCAGGGCCTGCTTGGATCAAAGCCTCCTAGCCAGTCTCAGGCTGTTCCTACTTCAGACTGAGAGACCCTCTGCCCATGACACATGGCAGCCAGTGTAGGGTTTGCCCGTGCTCAATGCAGAAATTTCCCAAAGGGAATACTACTCTAGGGACCTGAACAGGAGGCATGAGGTCATGTCATTAACCCAGAGCACTGGGGCAGAGCCTTGTTCTGTCACAACTCTTTTCCCTCTTCTTGCTCCACAGACCTGTACAACATCAGCAACACTCGTGGGAAGGTGGGGACATTCTGCATCTTTAAGACTGTATATAAGATTGGAGAGGATGTCATTGGGACCTTCAACTTCTCAGAAGGAGATATCCCATGTCTGCAGGTCATTGCTGTGTCTGGGGTTACTGGGGAGAGGCAGGGGTTTAGGATGAGGCATGTGGAGTAGGGTTTGGGGTGGCACTGGGTTGTGAGGGTATCTAGTGGGACCCAGCTGGGGTCCCCTTTGAGTCTGAGGCAGACAATGGTCCAATCCCGAGCTCATTTGGGAAATGGACCCCCCAAGGCTTTGCATGAGGTGTGTATGAGGTTGTGAGAGCAAGCACCCTGCCAATTGCCCTGCAGTTCTCAGTGAGCCTGCAGACAGAGGAGAGCATCCAGGAGGAGTTCCAGCGGCGGCGGGGGCAGCCTGTCTCCTTCACTGTGCACGCCCGCCATCAGGAGTCCTGCCTGCACACAGCACAGAGCAGCTTCAGCCTGCCCATCCCGCTCAGCTCAACCCCAGGATTCACCACCAACATTGGTGAGTACCCACCAGGGAAGGGACACTCCCCTGCTTGTCTCTAGGAGGACTGTGATGTCCCCAGCCCTGCCCTTGCTCAGCAGAGCTGTGTCCCTTGGGAGAGAGCTGGCCTGTGTGAGTGGGGTCGTTTGCTGTCCCCGTGCCAGGACAGACTGTGCTGAGACAGTTGCTGTCCCTGGCACTTGTGGGTGTTACGTGCTGACTGCCCTCTTGCCTACAGTGTCCCTGAAATGGAGGCTGCACTTTGAGTTTGTGACTTCTGGGGAGTCAGCAGGGACTTGCTTGGTTCGTGGGAGCCAATCAGAGGCTGTCACCTGGACTGGGGTGGAGCAGATGGAAGTGGACACCTTCAGCTGGGACTTGCCCATCAAAGTTCTTCCCACCAACCCCATCCTGGCTTCCTACGTATCTCAGTTCTCCAGCACTAACTCCATCACCATCTGACTTAGGAAACGTTGTTGGCTTGCAGAGCTGCAAGTGCATGCCACCAGTGGAAATGGCAAGCAGGACTGTCACCAGTGTGCTGTGGTGCACACATCCCAGTGTCCCCTTGGATCCATCTGTGATGTCCAGGTGGGCACCAGACATGTCTGTCCTGTCTATGGTTGGAAAAATGCTGCTTGATGCAGTGTCTTGTGCTACAGCCCCCAGCTGGAGCTGGACCCTTCCTGCCTGGGTGAAGGTGCAAGTCTCAGCACTCAGCAAAAAGAAATCTGCCTCCCCAGGGAACTGCTGATGTGCCTTGATCTCATATGGGGCTTCCAAGAAGGAAAGGCCCAACCCAGGGAGGGGAGAGGGGAGCTCTTCCAGTGAAGCTTCATACCACCCTTGGGTAAAGGCTGTGCCCTTACAGAGACCCTACAAGCAGAGGTCTGCCATCCAGGTGAAGCACAGTGGCCACCTGGGCTGGGTGAGACCCTGCTCTCTTGTCCTGGCATGTGTCCTGCCTCTTGGAGAGTTGTCCTACACATGGAGTCCAGTGCTCCAGCCACCCCCACCTGGAGGAGGCAGGTGGTGGCAGGCCAGCCCTGTGCTGCTGGCGTGTGCTGGTGAGCAGGATGCAGGCCTGTGCTGGGTCAGTACAATTGTGATGATTCAAAACTGAGCAGCACTGAGCCCCTGGGCTGTTGTCTGCCTGGGGTCCTGGTGTGCTCTCCAGCATCCTGCTGGTCTTTGGATCCTTGGGGTGCTGTAAGGAATACATGCTGTGCATCCAAGAGCTGGCATGGAGATCTCCCTGCTCAACAGCCAGCTCCCCATTTTTACTGAACTTTCCAATGAACTTTCCTCTTTGCATGGAAATGTAATAAATATCTGACTCTGCAAAACTCAGCTTTCCCAAGAGCCTTATTCCTACATTGTTCCCGCTGCTGAACACATCCCACCTTCTACAGCAGTCACAGGCTGGAGACCTCTTTGTTCAGTACCTTTATTGCAAGAACAGAAACATCTACACAAGGCTCTGCACAACACAGGCATGGCACCAGCTGGGGCAGCTGCCAGGGTGGCTGCCTCCACCCTGGCACTTGGATTGCTTCTGCTTCTCCTGAACCCTCCCCACCCTGCACCCCTGCTAGTGGGGATGGGGCTCTCCCCGGGGACATCCTGTTCTGCCACCCACCCTGGGCTGGCTCTGTTGCAGTGTTGCCCAGGGCTGGCCTACAGTGCCAGGGACCCCAGGGACCCCAGGAGCTTTTGGAGCAGGGGTATTAGTGGTTCCAGAGGTGGGTTGTGCCCCTTGCACTCCAGGAGCAGAGAAGGGGCTGGACAGGGTGCGGGGATCCTGCATGAGGTGCCGTGGTGACCCCAGGGAGCTGCCCAGGCTGCTGTGCAGAGGAGTACAGGGCTGGGAGGGAGTAGGGAGCTGCTTTGCTTGGGGCTGGATATCGGAATGCAGGACTGCCATAGAGCAGGCTGATTTAGTCCTGTAGCCTTTTTTTAGTCACTGAAGGTTTTCTGCCCACCTGGAGGAGATCCTGTAGAATCTGCACTTCTACGGTGTGCAGAGCACCTCACAGCGAGGACGCCCTGGTTCAGGAAGCTGAAGGCAGAAGCAAGGCTTGGTACCATGGTGTGTGGATAGTGGTTTCCCTCGGAGGTGCCGGCGGTGATGCCTCTACAGGGTGGGTGGGGCAGGTCTGGAGCATGCGGGCGGTGTGCTCGGGAGGGGAGGGCGGCGCTGAGGAATGCGGGGCGCTGCCGGGACTCACTCTATCTGTTGAGCCCCGCACCCAGCAGCTTGTTCACCAGCGGCTCGGGGGTGCTGGCCGAGCCCCACTCGTGCTCCACGCTCTTCACGCACGGCAGGCTGGGGTTGGCCTTCTGCACTACCGAGATCTGGCAGGTCTGTGAGTCGTAGTGGGCCTCGCACCAGTCAGGGAAGTCGATCGGGTGCTGGGTGCTGTGGGAGAGGACACGGTGCTGTCAGTAGCCCTGATTAATGGCAGCGGGCTGCTGACTGCGCTGGGTGGCTTCCTGCTGCCAGCGCCCTGCACGGGTGTCTTCCAGACCAGCTTAGGCAGGCTGGGACACAGCTCCTGGCCCATCTGGGCATCTTGCTGTGCCAAAACATCCTTTCCAACTGCCCCAACTCACCCCACCACCCTCAATGCCCTGGTGGGGTCCTGCCCACCTCTGCCTCTTGTTCGCCAGGACCTGGTGCCCGCAGCCCTCCCAAGGCCCTGATATCAGCTGCATTTGCAGCCACCAGACACCCGCTGCTGCAGGGGCAGGGTGCTGTGGTGGGAGGTGACAGCCACCCCAGCCCGGCCCCTCACTCACGTCTCACAGCAGCCCACGCCAATGGGGTGCAGGCAGGTGCAGAGCAGGCAGTTGGTGCTCAGCCACGATTCCCCAATGGAGAACTGTTTCCCTTCGTATTCACAGGAAGCTGCAAAGGAAATAGTGGTGATGAGAACAGATGGGCCTGTGCTGAGGGTGAGTGGAAGCCTCCCGGACACCCCTGTGCCCTGAACAGGGGCAGAAGTACCATGAACCTCTCACCCACCTTGTGCAATGGAAGATATATGGTGATCTATCCACCATCCTGCAGGTATGGAATGCCCTGTCATCTCTCATGGGTCATGTACCCATCCATCCTCTCCTGGCCCTGTCTTGTGGCTCTCACCACTACTCCATGATCTAGAGCAAGAACCAAGTGGCTCTTGCTTCCCTGGAGAGGACAAATCCAATACCCCTTAGGGTCTGGGCATTTCCACAGCCCTGGGAGGAGACAACAGAGGGATAATGATCTGCCCTCCTCCCTTTGCTGATAGTCCTGCACACTCAGCCCCAGCCAGGCACCTGCCAGGAGCCTTCATGGCCCAGAAAGCTGTTTCTCAGCCAGAGCCCTGGGGAGCTGTTCTGTGGTTTATAGACTGCTCCTTCCACTCACCACTGGCCCATGATCCCATTCCTGTGCTCAGCACAGTCCCTTCCATACTTCTCAGGCATAGAGAAGAGCCCTGCTATGCTGGGAAAGCTGAGGCCTCTTCTTCCCCTTAGCCTCTTCCCATCTCACCTCCCCACTTACCTTTAGCCTGGAAGTAGCACTTGGCCTGGGAGCCTGGCAGCTGGAGGAGGGAGAGAAGCAGGCAAAGCCTGCCCCAAGCACACCTCATCTTCTGTGCTTGCATGGCCATAGATGGTTGAGCTGGACTTGTTCGCTTTGCTTCTCTATTGCCTTTGCTCCTTTGCCTTCTCTTTCTCTTTCTTCCTCTCTGCCTTTTTAATGCTCTTCCTCTGATCCCAATGAGAGATATTTATAAAGTTCAGCTTTACGACCCTGGCCACCAGCTGTGCCCCACTGGAAAAGTTGTAAAACTCATTTCCTGATTTGAAAGGCATGAAAACAAGAGGTAGGATCAAGATTTTTAACAAGCTGTGAAAAGCTGATTCATGCCCTCCAGAAATTTCTCCAGTTGGAAGCCCCTGTGGGTGCAAGGCTCCACAGCAAGGGGAGATCCAAAGATCCCCAGCAGCGTTGCCCTCTGCAGTGTGGTGAGCACGTAAGCAGCAAGCACGGGAGACCCTGGCTCCTGACCAGAAGAGCTCCAGGCTCCCCTCTGGTCATGCTGAGCCGTCACTGCTCCTTCAGAGCAAGCCAAGATTTTGGGAGCATCCCATGTCACAGTGACCAGAGCAGCACAAGCATTCTGCTAGCAGTGTGGGATGCAAATGGCATCATCCTCATTTGGGGATGGAGGTGCTTGCCCCCACTCCTGAGTACCACATCATGGCACTTTCACCCCAGCCTGGGCTGCAGCTGTGCCAGGTTCATAGCCATGCATAGGCTGGGGACGGGGACAGCAGGTTTAAAATCACAGGATCACAAAATCATAGAATCATAGAGTCGTAGAATATGCTGAGTTGGAAGGGGCCCATCAGGATCACCATGTCCAACTCCTGGCCCTGTGCAGGACACCCTAAGAATCCCAGCATGTACCTGAGCATGTTGTCCAAACACCTACTGAACTCTGACATATTTGGTGCTGTGACCAGAGCAGACAGTCACAGATGCAGAACCAGGGCTCATCTGAGCAGTGCCCATGAAAGGGGACTGTGCCTGTGCACCTGGAGTACCCACAAGGTACTGGGGCTGAGCGTCCTCTTCCAGGGGCTGCAGACTGGCCCCCACATAAGCTGGAAACAGGAAGGATAAAATTAGGAGGCAAAAGTGCTTTTAGGCAGCAGGTAACCTGAGGGTTAAGTGAGGGACTTGGCTGGAAGCAAGGACCTGTGTGAAGGTGCCGCATCACCCAGGATTGTGCCTGTGGACCTCACAGACCCTCACTCAGAGGGACTGCCTCTGTGTAGAAGTGATAAGGCTGTTATCAGCTGGCAAAGTGAGCTGAAGTGCAAGAGGGAGGAGGTCAGAGCCCTGGGAGCCACATGGCCCCGGAGAGCTACCAGCAAAGGGCTGACTTGCCAAAAGAAATTCGCAGCCCTTGTCAGAGGTGCTGCCAGCAGCAGGAAACAGGGCTCTGGGGATGGTCCAGCCAGGGGCTCAGCCAGCACAGGGCCGTGCTGGCAGTGAGGCAGCATCAGCAGCAGTGGCATATGTGGGTCATCTGCCCCTGCATTAAGCTCCCTGTTCCTGAGAGTTTGGGATAAATTTACACCTTGACGCGTGAGGCTTAATATCCCTTCCAGAATTTGTATTGGCATTCACTATTATAGCTGGATATTTTTCTTATCCCTATAAGTGCCCAATCCCTCATTGAATCCTGCTAAATTTTGGCCCGAGCATTTTCCTGTGGCAGTCTAATTAAGCACAGAGTGAGAAAGAAAAATGCTTCCTTTTATCCACTTTATCCGCTTTGGATTCACCACCTTCGGATTTGAAGGCATAGTCCCTTCCCTTTGGTGCTCTGGGCCCCTTTACCATCCCGTTGCATCCATCTCCTGCAGCTTGTGCTCTCACTGCTGAGGGAGAAGCTTTGCATCCCTTCTTCCCCTTAGAGAATTACCCCAGCCCTGTTGTAGTGCCACGGGTGATGCTGTGTCCCTCAGTGGGGTGGCTGGATGGCAGCGAGTGTGGGATCTGTTAGAAAAGGCTAATAACAAATCAGAGAAATGCTGGGCATGCCCTGCTGACCACTGGGCCATGAGCCAGGATGGTGGAGTGTATCAGTGACAAATGGAACTTGCCCTTTGGTGCAGAGTTGTTACTATATAAGGAGGATAAAAGTGTTCATCGTCAGAGCAGTTAATTAATATTCCTATTGTGTGTTTGGAAAAAGAAGTCTGGCACGCTAGTAACTGCAGTGAAATAATCCATCATTGTTTCATCAACAAGAACAGCAAATGTTACAAAAAAGAAATGGTGGGTTTCACTGAGAGGCCCACAGGATTTGGACAGGCTTCCAGAAGACTGCTCAAAACCTGGGGCAACAGCATCTCTTGGCTGTGGGGAAGGGCATTGCCCCTGCTCCATCAGGAACATGGAGAGGCATTCTCAGGATTTCTGTAGCAATTACAGTTCATTAAATAGAGAGTTAGAGCTACGAGTCCATTCATGGCTATTGGGTTTTCCATCAAAGTGCTTTGCTGGGAAAATGCAGAGAAATAGAGGAGTGTCAGGACATCTCTTGGCACACTGCAGAGGGAGCAGGGCAGTGGAGCACCATCCACACTGTGTCTGTGCATAAAGAAAGGGGCTGGTGGTCCCCCATAGCCTGTTGATCCTGCTATTCCCCCTCCTGACCACTTTCCTTGCCCCACTTCTGCATTCCTGGGCACCCACCTGTCCCCAGCACACACAGCCCCATGGCTGATCCAGAGCACTTTGGTCCAGGTTGTACACAAGGGAGCTCGTAATTTGGAAAGCAATAATTGCAATTGGACTTGGTGTTTCAGAGCTTCTGCCTGGGCTCTTGAGGGTACTGTGGCAGGAGGAGGAGCTGACACCTTCTGCTGTGCCAGCCTGGAGGAGGCTTTGCTGCAGAGACTGAAGGAAAGCAGCTGCTTTTGGTCTCACATCTTAGGGAACAACTGGGACCTGGGGAAGAACCACAGAAAGGATAAAGGGGCTAGAAGAAGTGCCTCTCTAGAAGTTCAGTGCCTTTGATTTACCAGACACAGCCCAACAGAAGGGATCACTGCCTGTCTACGTGTGTGCCAGTGAGGGGCAGTCACCACCTTTGAGTATCCCAGGATCCTGCAGAAGGTCACATCCATGTCTCAGCATCCTCCCAGCAGGACCCAGCTCTCCTGCCTGGCCTGGGTCTCAGATTGTAGCTGTGTCTGAGAAAAGCTGGGTGCTGCACCCCACCAGGGACACAGCTTTGCTGGGCTCCTCTCCCACCAATGCCTCTGCAGAGCAGCAGAATGCCCAGTGCCAGGGATGGGACCCTATGGATGGGGAAGGAAGAGCACCCAAGCCAGGGGTGCTGGGATGAGGTGGCAACAGCCCACCCCAGCACCGCAGGAGGCTCAGGGGGTAATAATTGATGCTGGACCAGTTGCCATCAGCGGAGTCCAGGAGGGTTATAAAACCTGAATCTCCTGAGCCTTCAGCTGGAGCTGCAGCTGCAGAGCAGGAAGCAAACAGGATCCCGGCTGGCATTGTGAAAGCAAACACCATAAATCCAAGGAAGTGCTGTGATTGCTGTTTTAGGCACTGGGGATCTTGGCTCCTGGTCCCCAAAGCTATTTTATTTTCTCTCTGAACAAAAAAAAAAAAAAAAAACCAAAAAAAACAAAAAAAAAACAAAAAAAAAAAAAAAACCAACCCGAAAAACAAAACAAACAAAAAAAAAAAAAAACCAAACAAGAAACCCCAAAACAAACAAAAAAATCCACAACCCCAGTTATCACTGGACCAAACTGCATTGGTGCTGCTGTGGACCCTGAAGCAGCTCTTCAGGGGATGTGGGGACCTTGCCTTGCCCAGCACCTTGAGGATGTTTCAAGCACCAGAGTACCCAGGGCACCAGGGCAGATGCAGGTAGATGCTGGCTCTGAGTGATGACCATTCATGAATGCTCACTGCTCGCTGACATGGCCAGACCCTGGGGAGGGGTGAGCAGAGGGGTGAGGAAGAGATAGGCAGTCAGGAGCTGGGAAGGGAAGACAAAGGGCTAGACAGGGGATGACAGTTGGCTCATGGCATCCTTCATCCCACAGCTGGCAAGCCAGGTGGGACAGCTCACAGAGGCTGGAGTACAGCCCACCAGCAATGGGACTGTTGCTCCAAAAAGGAGACAAAATAGAGCAGATGTGAGAAAAAAAATAATGTCACCTTACTCTGCAGACTGGCTGCCTGCTAGGTGAAGCTCTGTGCAGGTGGAGAAGCATGGGCTGCAATGCATGCTGGCATGCCTTGTGTCTTCCGTGGATGTCCCTGGTCTCAACACCCTGACCCTTCTTGCAGGAAGAGGTGTTCTGACCCTAGAGGCTAGGCACAGCACTTCACAGGGCTCTGCAACTCTGGTTGGGGGGGGTGTGTGGGTTCCCTGCTGTGGGACAGGACCTGCTGTGGGATGGTGTCTGCAGGTCCCCAGTCACGGGGTGGGCTCTGTGTCCTGAGCACTCCCACGCTGGGACTCCCTCGTGCCCTCCTGCCCTTTCTCACATGGTCTCATCCTCCCTTGCTCATTGCTCATGCCTGTGTTCCACTCCATTGGGACTTTCCCAGGTCGTTTATCATGGCTGTGGCTGCCCTGCATGAATGTGCCAGCTGTGTCACCTCCCTGGTTCAGGACAAGTGTTGTCACTCTGTGTCCGTGGGGAGAGCCTCTAGAAGCCACACCTCTCTGTGCCCCAGACCCATGGTGGGACCCTAGGAGTCTCCTTTCAGGGCACCAGGTTTTGGCATCAGTGGGTTGGCCATGCATTCCTGCTGCCCTCAGCCCTGGCAGGGTGCTGGCATCCACCCTGGCTCTTCAGCACCCTGGATATCCCAGCACAGGTGTGCTGCAGCCCGTGGCTCTGCCTGGGCTCCCCTCAAAGAAACGTGCCAGGAGGTCACGGGGTGTTTAGGAAAACAGGCCTTGGCACTTGCTGGCCATACCAGGAAAATAAAAACATCCGGGCAGGCAGCCGCACAGTGCCTGCAAGAGGCCGGCACTCCATAAATCCCCTGGAGCAGGTGCTTTGTAGTCGGCACAAGGAAATGAGCATATTATTCAGCTTGGCTTAA